GCTCGTACACTTTATGAGTTGAGAGATGTGTGTGTGAAGTTGAAAGAGTAAGTCATTTATTTCTTGAACGACAGATTAGTGAACTATTCCTGTAGCGATCCTGTGTATGTCAGTTCAGTTACTTTCTCAGTGGTAGTTGGACGTGGAGAAAGTTGATAGCTAAATATCACACAGCATATTGACGCCCATATTGTCGTAGATGTCTTGTGAGTGATTTATAATTTCTGTGGACCTTCTGTGGACTTTGTGCTCTGTTAATGCCTGGTTGCATCCGAATGGATGGCACTTCGTAGAGAACAAAATGCTCAGCAGAAACTATCCACCATTGTGTTTCCCTGTTAGCGAGAAATTCTCGCCACTTGATCCCATAAGAACGTTCGTCGCTGACTTTTGTACATTCGGTAGTGACGTATACTTAGTAACGCTTTAATCATTGTTCGTTAAATGATTACTCGCGAAGACTAGCTTTCTATCATATGAATTTAGCTAGTTTTATCCGCGTTGCTTAGCTTTCAGAAGGTGGTAAATGTCTCACACACTCATTGTCTCACTACGCATAGCTTCACCGTCTTCATTTTGTTCGGCCGAAGGCATGTGTTGACTTGAGACCCCAATTCTTTGGTACCAAAGTACGTTTTATGTTGTTTTGGAACATCGCGTAATGAATACCGCAGCAGCCCCAAACTACACTGTGAACAATCGATTGCAGTGCTCGTCTCCTCGCTCTATTGATGAGAGTGTGTTGGTATATTTTCACTTGATTTAAAAGACATCTGGTTGTTACGAGTATAAAGTAATCTCTTTCTTATGACCAGTTAGCGCTTGCTATTCCCCTACACTGCTGCATTCCTTTGTTTTCGTCGGTGACCTTGAATGCACAGGAGCAATTCCAGAGTAGTCTATAGGACTTTGCATGTAACGAATACCATTTTTACTTTGTTTTTGTTTGTGAATAATTTGTAGTGAATGACTTTCTCATGGTTCCAGTCCGGGAATAGTTTTATCGCATCAATTTTATCGGAGGTCTTGAAAATGTTAACCCGGAAATACCGAAAAGTTACCGAGTGCTTCTTAGCTTCTTAACCATATTGTCAATGTGGACTTGAGGTGTCCATGAGTTTGCTTCAAGTTTAACAACTATGGAAATTTATCACATGTATGATTATACTTCTGTTGGTCATCGATTACTTCGATTGACTTCGGTTGCGATCCCATTATTACCTGTCACGTCTCGGCATCGTTGTCTTGATTATGCTTTCAAAAGCCACGAAAAACATTATGTTTTCCGTTCAAGACTTCGTTTTGGGAACAAACTGTCACGTCTTCATGTACTTAATATCCTGCGGAAGGAACCAAATTACCAATGGCTGCTTATCTAACGATCGTTTTTTCAGGAAGCTTGCTTTCCTCTGCTCTGGGCTGCAAATGACAAAGCTGTCCATTACTTCAAAATTTCCCATCCGTATACACACATAGGGAATTTAGATGTTCTGTCTGCAGTATAAGAAATCTTAATGCCGCAGGTTTCGTTTGGACATCGTCTTTTCTAAGTTTAGTCTCTTCTGATTAACCATCTAAATCGTTGGGCATTGTTTTACACTAAGTGAAAAGAATACTGGACACGAACGAATGGGCACTGATCGAGGTGTTCTTTGTCTTCCTCATCACCTCTTAAATAATAATAAAGGATGAAGCTTTCAGCATTGGTCGGTCCCAGAGGCATGCGCCATGCATTCGACTTTATTAAGCATCGTTTGGAGGTGACTGAATGCATATCTGGCCTTTACAGTGGCTCGCGGTGGTCCACCGATGTATCGAGTCAGTGCTGCTATCCTCTCAGACAAGTCTGGTACCAATTTGCCGACCCAGGAGAGATGGAAGACTTGGCGGGCCATGGGCACGGGAATCGATTCCACCTGTATTGCGGAGCGCCTCCGGCCACTGCGCTACATGCGCCCACCTGAGAGATATTCTTACAAAATTTCCAATCAGCTCACTTCCTCCTGTTGAGCATTAAAGGTAAGTGGTTTATTATGATGACTTCCCAATGAAGGCACACGTAGATGGAGCAGTCAGAGATTTTAGAGTTTTGGAGAGTCAAGAACAATCTTTTATAATGGTTTTTTGAACTCGGCCAGTATCCATTCTATGTACAGGTGACCAGTACGGCGAATTTGGTATACCAGCTCATTACCAATTAAATTTGGCTCTTTGTTATTCCTTTTCGGTTTTTGCGTGATATTTTTGGCAGGATAGTTTTGGCAAGTTCCATCGTCTTGTCAGGCTTCTCTCTCCACATTAGCGACAGTGCAGTTCTAATGAACATCTCAAATGTGGCCATTAAATTATCGTCGACCTCGTGAAGACCGTGTATTGAATGGGTGGCGATGAAGAATTGTCCAAGACTTGCATCACTGCACCTATCTCATTGGAATTCGAGACCCTTAAATCAGAAGAACAAGGACCTAGTCGCACCTTATGGTTCTGCGACATCTTGCACTTTATGTCGGGTTGCTCGGAAACCAGTGTCGGATTTGTAATTTCATTTTTACTATGTATGTTTTAGCAACAGTTTTTTTCTTCGATTGCTGCAATATTATGCATTATTGTAATGCTCATATTGCGGTCCTTCGCTCCCTATAAGTGAATCGTAATAGAAACCACGTTTTCAGCAGGTTCTAAGAATTACTTACTAACTTGATACTTGAACGGCGCCTCCTCACTAGTCGTGTGGGCCCCAGTATAATCTCTAATTTTCGTAGTTTTGCTGGTTTAACTTAACCATTGTGGTTCCCTGGAATCCCGAAGTCAACCTAGCCAAAGTCTACTCCAGGTCCTCGCCACCACGGCCAGTCGCAGCCCTTGTGGATCAGAGGTAGATTTGACACCATGCGACTTTGATACCAGGACGGTGGTGGATCCTGGTATTAGTTTAGAACATTGGTTTGGTTTAGAGAAGATTAGAATTTAAGATGCCAAAACAGCGATTTTAGTGCATGTACTGCTACGAATTGAAACTCGGACCTATGACCGTCTGTGTGAAACAACAAAGTGCGTAATTTGCCCTTACGGCAGGGACGGTGATTGCATGAGTTCAGGTACGATATACCTGATCTCTTGTAATAATTGCGGAGATGAATATATTGGCGAAACGGCAGACCTTTGTGTATCCGTTTAAAAGAACATCTAGATGGCAAACGAAAACTAAGACGAAGCACCCCACTAAGCACGCATAGGATACAAAAGCATAGTGCAGACGATTTTGAAGTAAAAGTCAATATCCTTGCACAGGAGTCCAAAACACCAGCGCGAAAACTTCTTGAGGCTTTTTGGATAAATGCCAAAAACCCCACAATCAATAGCAGGGATGAATGCCCGGAGGTCATACGCGACCTGATCCCGTACGTTCGCATCGATTTTTGATGTGGGATGGTGCAGTCGTCAACCACATGCGACTATAATCAGCTGTTCTAAACTTCCTCATTGGAAGTCACGAAAAAGCGGTGGGTTTTTATTCGAGAAGTTGTTGATCATGTAATTACCGGAGAGTTTTTCGTCTTTTTGTAAGTGTCATTGAAGCGTTTGACCTAGTAGATTGTATATCAGTATACCCTTCCAGGCTCTGAAGAAGGCGATACTGCCGAAGCGTCAGCTATTGTTGTATTGTATTGTGTTTTTCTATGGAAGTAAATGTATGCTGTTTAAAAACCTCGCGATTGCTGAACAAGAAAACGACACACTCGGACCTAGTTAGAAACGTTGATGGGGTATGGGGCCAAGGAATTGTTAATGAAGGAACAGTGCCACATTTGCTTAAAAAATTTCGTAATTGCGTATTCCATCTTAAAAGTGAAGGATGTGGTGAACGTCCAACTGCTACAACGAATTAAAGGGTTTAGTGATGCGATTATACGCACAAGTGTTTGAAATCATGCAGAAGAACCTGATGTGGTACTCACTTCAGTTATTTTGGAGCACTTAATTATCATTGGAGATACAACCATGACGTTGGTGAGATATTTGCAAAACTCCGAACCGCAGGTGTCTGCGGTGGGCAACAAACGCGCTATTTTCCTTTCTGGGGAGTAACGCATTCACCACCACACCATGCGGGTTCTTCGTTTCGCCTGTCTCTCAGCTAGTACTATCGATCTTTTGCCATCAGCAATCACCTTCAAATAACTGTTCGAATATCTGTTCGACTGGCCCCAATTGCCCCTTTACAATGTTCTTCTCCTGTTAGCAATTCTCGAAGAAGCTCTCAATCTTACTGAAGAATTGAATTGCGAGAGATTCGGTAGTAGACCGTACTGTGTGTTTTCTTTACATTTTTTTAAAACAACGTAATTTTTCCATTTGTCACAATCTTGTTGCCTTACAATTCAGCAGATAACGTATGAAAGTCCGCGTTTGTGTGTGTATGACGAGAACTGGTCTTAGCTTCATGAGGTGTTCGAGTCCGATCTCGTAGGAACTAGGTAGTGTGCAAGTCTTCATCGATGAGACAGCATGTTGGTTCTTGACAGGAAGAACCGTTACAGTGACATAGTCATCCTCTCCATGGTTATGTGAAAACAGGTGTGTTTGAACGCGTGTAAGACCGAAATAGATCTCATGAGTTGTGTTCTCCATTCACTGTTTTCTTGATGAGCAAACGCTAGGTTGTTATTACAGCATTTATTAACGCAGAAGTGCTAAGTTTTGGCGGTTTGCCCTTCCGCAGAATCTGGGTGGGTTAAATTGGCGTGAAATCTACTCATCCAAACAGTTTCGTAACCTCAGCACAGGAACGTTAGCCAAATTAAAGTTGTGTGTTAACCTCGTTTAAGCTGAACAATTCATAGAAGTTTATTGAAGTGATTCACGCTGAGCTTAAGTGAAGTTCAGCTTCGTAAAGTATCACCTCAAGCGTAGTCACCGGTCTTAGCGGATCAAAGGGAACTTTCCGCTGTCTTCGTTCAATTTGCGGGCCTGGTCATGATGCGTGGCTTGTATACAGCATGAATGAAGCAACTACCACGTCTGTATTACAAGGGGACTCTAACTACTGTATCTACATGTACTTTGTTCTTTATACGGTACGTAAGTCACAGATCACCTTGACTCGAGGTGTGTAAGCCACTTTATGGAAGAAATATAACGGCAATATGTTGTCATCTGCCAAAGTCGTTTTGCTTTGTGTATTTCTGACGAACGTCTAATGATTGATTTCTTACTGTTATATTTGATTCGTGAACATTATTCCGATTTCAAGTGGCAAATACACCATGGAATTTAACTGTGATCGTTGACATTTTATTAACAACGAAAATCTTGGTGTTCACCAAGACGTTGTTTTTAGCAACCCGCCACTCACTAGCACTGAACGACGATCTGCTTACACCTCCAGTGTTGTCCTTCGATGTGAAGCTAGAGTTGGACCAGTTACCGAGTTCGATGACATCTTCGACTGTAGTGGAGAGGTTAGTGCTCGTTATTTATATTCCGCATTATGTATTTGTTTCCGTCTAATGAAGCTTCTGTTTTAATCTCTTGGTCACGATCCTTGTCTTTTACTACTGCTTTATATCATCTGTAGCACCCCTAAACTTCGACTAACTCCTAGCGAGCTATTGTGAAATCTCAATTTATCCTTGTCTCGTGTCAGATTTGCTTAAGAGGTTTCTCTGTTGTGAAGAACACGAAATGTTTCACAGTTTCTGTATGATAATAACTCATTGGCTCTACCACGTCGTAATTTTTCGTTTCTTTGGGATTTTGGATGGAAATGTCTAGCTTCTCATATTTCGTGACTCTTGGCGTCGTGAAGCTCTGCTCTCCATCGTAGTTGTATCCCACGAACACTCCTCTACTAAAACAATTTTCAAACAGACCGTTTCGGTAATAAATTAAACAACATGTGTATAAATTGTTGAGGTTACATGAAGTTGGTAAATTAGATTTATTCGGCCAACTTTTCGACGTCTTCGCCTTCATCAGAGCGGATGATCCGAGTCAATGATCCATCCACAGCTAGTCTACAGTCTCCTGTAGTAATTGTGTTTTATTCTGCAGTTTCAAATGTGAATACATCGAGAGAAAACTTGCTATTGTTATTCTTTTATTAGGATAATATGAGCATTGTGAGAATCCCCTGAAACGGAGCTCTAGTCCGCAACGGATTAACGGAAAACAAAAAAGCAGCTAATGCCTGTGAAACATGGCAATACCTAGTAGACTTGCTCACTCATGGTAGACCAAGTTCTTGCACTTTTGCAGTCGTGACTCATTCAACTCATCGCCAGTTGAAAGTCGAACAGAAGTGCAGAATCCGTCAGATGTTAACAGCATGCGGAAACCGTTTAGGTGTGTTTCGCGATCTGCAAAAGCGAAACGATTACGGTTCTATCGCAACGGCGACCAGTACTATAAAGTAAGTCCAGAAACTCACTGTATCCATAAGCTTTGTCAAGTTTTCGTTTAGGGATTGTGGTATGCTCTACGTATCGATCGTGTTCGAAGCATGAAACCATTAATGGAGGATCTATCGAAAACAATGGGTGACTCGGCCGCCCTTCCTCTTGGCATACGACATATATTCAGCATAGACGGACAATTAAGGATAACCGACATAGATCAGTTCGTAGACGGGGAATCATATGTATGCTCTAGGTGGGAGATTTATTAGTTTGTTCACTATTTTAACTTTATTTTAATCCTTTTAGTATAGATATGTTTATTTTTGTTTTATGTTTTCGTGTGTAATCGACTTTTGATTCCTTCCTCCTAATGTTGCAAAAGAGAGGGACTGCACTGGATGTTATTGGGTAGCTTTAATTTCTTTTTAGTACAGAGACGTTCAAATCAGTTGATTATGCAAATGCTCGTGAGCCGTATTGGTGTTTTGCTCTTTCACGAGCAAGTAGACTGAACGATATCCCTTTGTTGAGCTTGCACGGGACAGAACATGTTTCGGTGAGTTGTTTCAGTTTGTTACTTTTTCTTTTTCTTGTAGTTTTCATACGGTCTTGCTGGTTTCTATCTCCTAATCATTTGAGTTAAGTTCATTTCTTGACTAGTTTCTTTTTTACCACCGGTGTGAAGCGCTAGAATTTAGAACTTTGATATCCTTTTTTGTCGACTCTTGCTATCCATTGACTTTTTGATAAATAAAGAATGATATATGCAGAATAGAGTCAGCAATGTATATAACCTTTTCAACTCTTCATAACCATCGCTATTCATTAGGTTGAGCCTACACACTTTGTGTTTCCACGTATCATCACTGTAATCCGGAATGGTGTGAAACCCCGAAAAGTTATCCGCCATCTTTTGAACAAGAAAACTGCAAGGTAAGACTTCTCGCTGTTCATATTTTTACTTTGAGGTTTGTTGTAATATATTTAGGATTCAGTGCAATCTTTCACTGCGTAATTCCCAATTTCGTTCTCCCGAACTTGTTTTTTCAGCATTCTTTTTGGTGGTATATAAATATTGGGAATAGTAGTAATTAAGGCCTCCCTTTCTTTGATTCTCAATTTTCTTAGATTTCAGAAAATTGTAATCGAAGTAGTGGGATTGGCGTGTAAAACTTATTCGCCAGCATTTTCGTATTTGGTATTACTTCTACATTCTAGATCATTCGATCAAGTCATGTCTGATCTCACTTGCGTCGTGAAACTTGATAGTGGTGCCATTCGGAAACTGTTTTCCTTGGGAGGAAGTGCTGTAGGTCTTTGATAAACTAAGACTTGAATACTGATTAAAATCAGATTGAATTCACTCCAGGTGCTCACATTGCAAGATTTCTTCCGAGAAGATGACGTTTTCATTGCGTATGGTAATGAAAGAGCAAGTGCCGATGATTTTTTTGTAATATCTGAAGGTAATAGTGTTTTTATTTAATGACTAGAGTTTTTCACAATTAATGATAGCACGGGAAGGTTTGGTTTTGCTATGAACTAGGATCACTGCTTAAAAGCACGCTTCTCGTAACCTGTTGCCCAACCATTTAATGCACTAATTGTAGCTTGTGATTCAGTTGGCAACCCGCACCATGTAGACCAGGGTTAGCTCGATTTTAACAGAGCTAATATTTTGGTTTCACGTTTTATCCTTTGAACAGTACATTATTTGTTAATCAATAGGGCAGAGTAGATGTTCCTGAAAAGAAAGGCTGCTATTACATTTCAAATGAGAGAGAGAAGTGCTCAATGCTATAGAGTGGAGCACGCATTTCCTCTACCGTTTTATGCAAATACCTATGAAGTGTCTCACTTTATCGTCATCCCAACTCGGTTCTTCACTAGATCTTCCATTAAACACAATACTCTACTCATCGTCGGACCTTCTTGGATTATTAAACTAACACAAGGTTGATAAGTTATAATCTTAACCTTTTTATTTACTGCCTATTCTTTTTTACGGCGGGGTATTTTGCGAAATATAACTATTGTCTGCAGGACTCCTGCGGTCCGGAATTTTGCAAATATTTCAGCATGTTATATTTAAAAATATCGTCATACCAATGCAAAAACCTGCCCTATGGGTGGATCGAACTGCCGACTTTGGCATTTCTAGATCTTTTAAGTAGCGGGCGCTAACCAACTGCACCAGTGGAGCACGCTCTCGAGTTTTCACTGTTCGGTGGGAATTCTGAAGCGTTTTCAAGAGATTAGTCTTAATTTGAACAGGAAATTTTAAACTAAAGTTGGACGAATCGCGTATACACAGATATTTTACAAAAGTATTGTCTCACTTTAATTATTCTCTAGTGATTACAACCTGGGACTTAATGTTATTGTTTACTACGTGCAATGATAGCTAATTTTTCGCAGCGGTCACGTATTCGTATACAACTGAAGTTCTTGAGAAACTGAGAACACAACAAGTTTATGTAAACAGTTTTGACGAATTTGAATTTGCTTGAAATTCGAGTCCTCGAATAACGGAGAACGAGGTTTAGATTTTGGGACATTTTTTTTCATAAACCCGGAGACCGTCCATAATCGCAGGAGACTATTTCAGCATAGCTTTCTTTCATAAGAAAAAGTGTAATCTTTCGTTTATATAGAGAAAAATTGATGAAAATGAATTGGCAGTTCACCAAAGCGTTTGCATTGTTAAGACTTAGTTAGATAAATATGCAACAGATGTCTATGAGTTATACTGGAATTCAACAAATGAAATCTGCTTTTATTGTGGTTAACATTCATGTCTTCGTACATATTGTTGACTCAAGCGAAAATCTAGCCATCGGATGGACAGCTATCATCATAGTCTTCACATGGTTCCCCATACTTCTTCACTTCGTTTTGTTCTGTTGTAGCTGTTATTCACGCAGGTGATTTATAAAACGACCCAATTGTAAGTAAGATTTGGTTTTATTTCACTATTCATGTTGGAGAATATGTTCATCTTAAGAGGTCTTATTCATGCATTTGGTTTACCTTCAATTGGTCTTCGTCTTTCCATCCCTAGTTGATCTCAGTCAGCGGGCATTTATATGTCCTTTATTAGTTGAAATGATTACTGGTCACATAAAAAGGCTCTCTCGTCATTGTAAAATGATAGATGCACTCAAAAAATGTTTATACATGGGGCTGGCCAATACCTTGGTCAGCTAGCCGGAGAGGAAACATTTGTGTTGCACACTGGTGAATACAGTTTCAAACGAAAGCTATGAGAAAAAGCAGTTGGTGTTCATGGCAGACTAATCACTCTCAAAGGAGTCTAGATGTAACTCATATAAGTAAATCTCGTGCGAAATCTTGCTTACTCTGAAAATCCCACAATATGGGCTAACGGGAGATCTTCATGTAAAGCTTGTCATATTCTCAGTAATTATATCGAGCGGTTGTGAAAGATTTCACTATCTTAACTCTTTTATTTACTGCCTTTTTCTTCTTAATGGCAGGGTATGTTGTGAAATATAACTCGTATGAAGTGCTGAGATATCTGCAAAACTCTGGACCACAGGTGTATGAAGTGGAGAACGAACACGCGCTGTTGTCCTTACCGGGGAGCAGCGCACTTCACCACTACACCATCCGGGTCCTTCGTCTTG